CCCGCCTCGGCCTCCCAGAGAGCTAGGATTACAGGCGTGAGCCACCGCGCCCGGCCTAGATTCTATAATTTTTACAGAATCCTTACACTCCTCAGGGCTTTGGGGATTAGGTTTAATTTTAGATAAATTATGATTACTCTTTGAAAAAACTTACAAACAGTACTACTTCAAAAATGCTTAAATATTAATGTTAACATTAATAGTTTCTTATTATGACAAGACTTGAAATCTTGTGCTAAACTAAGCAGATATTAAGGAGACAGCTATAATTCTGACATGGAAAGAAGTCGGAAAAGATACAGAACAAAATGTTGAGTGTGATCACATTAAAAAAAAATAACAGCAGGAAAAACAACAAATACATGTGTGCATGTACACACATATATACATATAGATGTTTCTATGATACACAAAGATCTATAAAAATGTTCAATGATGGTTATCTCTGAAGGATGAGATTTGTGGGAAATTTTACTCTATTTCTGTACTGCTTAAATTGTTTACAGTATGTAAATATGACTGTTGGGATTAAAATAGAAGTTTACCCATGACGTGACACATTCCCCTTCGACCCACTCGCTCAAGGCCTACTACTGGTGACTTTTAGTCCTGCAACTTAACATAATTTCATAGGAACTTACTAGAGAGCAAAGAAAGCTCCTGGTGTATAAATTTTGACTAATGTATTTCATACAAAGTGTTTCAGATTTTATATTAATGGAAGCAGCTCTTTATATTGGAATGAGTAGCCCAGTCTTTCTTTGAAAATATTTAATGCCTCTGGTCTCTCTGTTAATTGCTCTGCTACCCATCTTTTCCTTCCCTTCCCCTGGCCTCCTCCATCTCAGCAATAGTGGGACTAAGAGCTTATTGCTAACTGGTTGTTGGGACACAGAGCTCCCTACCCCAAATGTGCTCTCAGTAAATGATTTTAAAGAGTGGTAAAATCTGAGTTACGCTGCTTTCCCTCAGAAATAATATACAAACTCCCTCTAGTTCTTCACATGTTAAAAAAAAAAATTCCAGAAAAGAATGGTGGTTATAAATTTAATAATTCATTGAGAACCTTCCACTCTGGTCATCACTGGAAGAGATAAAGGACAGAGGAAAAGCAAAAAAAGGGAAGCAATGGAGAATTCAATTCAAATGGACAAAGGTGAAATACGGCTTCCAGTGGACAAAGTCACAGTCCCAAGCCAATATTTCAAAAAAAAAACAATATCCACTTAGGTCTTCCATTAATTGGAAAACAAATAGCCAGATTTCCAGTGGAGAGGACTCCCTTCTTGTCATACATCTTATCCATCTTTAATTGGCAGGTACAATGGGAAAATGGAAAATGAAAACACACAGTTTTTGTCACTTATAAAGTGTCCTCATTATTTAGTGATTATGTCGGAGCACTTACAAAAGGCAGGTTATCTTACCTTCTCAGTCAATGTAATATTGTAACAACATATACCGTTGATTGGAAATCATTAAACTGGGCTTGATATCAGCCAGATGATCATTATCCCTTTAGTGAATGAAAGCACAGTATTAAATAAACCAGAAAACTATTTTAAAATTTGCATTTATTTGCAGCTTAATTCTTTCGTACAATGCAATACCAACGGTATGAGTGCTGATGCTTTTATATTTGCACTTGTGTAATGAATTTGCTTTTAAAAAACCTGAAACTAGCATACTATAGGGATTTGTTTTGATATATGGTGAGAAATTTCTCACTGCTTTATGCCATAAATCAAGAGAAACTGAAGATCCCAAAATAAATCATATTGTACAATATAGTTAAGCATAATCATGCTTCAAAACGTGGTTGAACTTAATTGAAACATATTACATCTTTGTTCTTCAGATTATTTTACTTCAAATACTTTGTAGATAGAATCTTGTAGAATCACTTAGTCAGGAGTTTATTGATTTTAGCAAACTAATTTATTAGATTAACTGCTCACTTAAAAAATAGGCATCTTTTCTGAAAATGTTTATTAAAATATATAGGAAAAGTCTTTACTGTAACTAAAAGTGCCCAAATAGAATATGTGTCATGCTATAATAGTATTTACAATGTATTTTAAGAAAAAAATGATAATATTCAGATTAAATGCAGGAAAGAAAAAAAAAATCACATTTTCAACACTTGATATTTCCTTCCATTGATTTGTCATGCTCTGCAATTAGAAGATAATTTCACATGTTTAGTTTTCTATCTATTCCAGGAAGTTTGTGTTGAAATTTTTTTCGCCATTATAAACTGTGATTCTCTATGGGACCTTTTCAGCTTTGCACGCCGATTTTGGAACCAAATCTAAAATTAAGGAAAAATAAAATAGGTCTCAGAAACATTATTTTATTGTTCTTAATATTTCAATCAGCATGAGTAACAACTAAATTTGAAAATTACCTGGATTCTATCTTCCTCTAGATTCAATTTTCGGGCTAAGTCTTCTCTGATATCAATGCCAGGATAGCAGTTTACTCTAAAGACATTTTCCAACACTTCAATCTAAGAAAAAGGAAACAATACTTTAAAATGTTGATCTTCAGTATGTCACTGAAAACGGGCTTTAATTTCCATAGCAAAATAACTGCATTTAAATCTTTGGCAATTAATCTGAATGCCTTTTTAACAATGATTATCTACAAATTGTTAAAATATGATAGTCTATTGTTTCATTAATAAGGCTTCTAAACCGAGATCCCAAAACGAATGGGCTTTTGCTCAACAGGGTGTCAGTTAAAGCCTTTGTATTATCATTATTGGATGGAAAAACTTCCCACCTGGTTTTGAGTAAAAGCAGTTCTGGGTCTTCGGCCTCTATACCAACTCAACTCTCTTTTCAAAGACAGTCTTTCCGAGGCTGAAAAGTAATTTTCATATTTCAAAGCTCTTTCTTCTGGCATTGGGTGGTCCACAATACAAGGGAATGCAATCCCATTGGGAAGACTCGGGACATGTAAACACAGATTACCATCTTTCCCTGAAAACAGAAAAGTAAACCCTATCTTAGAAGGCCAATTCTATGTTCCACAAAGTTCCATAACAAGTAATCTCTGGAACTTGTCTTTAACTTCCTAGTGGAATTCTTCTGGGTTTCACAAGAGAACTGCCCCTTCATCAACCAAAAACCCAAAACCATACAAAAATGAATATCCTGCCTTGGTAATCCTGCCTTTTGGTCTCTGAATGTCATTTATTTTTCATTGAAAACAGATTTCAAATATCTGGTGTGACAAACACACACTACACACACTCACACACACACACAATCTTCTGAAGTAATGGCAGGTTGTTGGCATTTCCTGTGCGTGAACTTTACATCCACTTGGATCTTAGGCTGATACTTTTTTTACTTTCCATAGGACTCAGCTGGAGGTATTAAAAGTCCTACATGCTTCACTTATGTAATTGAATGAAACTGCAGTTTCTATGTAGTATGAAATAAAGGCCAAATTAAACACTGCAATGAAATAACAAGGAGTTTAAAAAATTAAGTTGTGGCATACCTGAGGGGCTGCAGGTGTCTGCCCAGGGCCTGTGGGGTTTCACTGATGGAACACAGTCTTTCTTCTGGTCCAGTCCTAAGATGCTCTCAATTGAAAAGGAGCAGGGTGAGGGTTTGCTTTCCCCAAGTCGAGCACCTTCCTGAAGGCTGGGAGACATCCTCTTGTGGGCTGCACAGAGCCACAACGCTGGCCTCTCTGCTGGCTCTGCCCCACGTGTACAGGGCTGAGTTCTTCCTGCAGTTCACCTTATAGCTCCGCTGACAAGGGGGCTGGATTTAGAACGTCACTAATTAAAATCCTGTCTTAGAAAGTTTTAGCATGTCAATGAACACTTGCCCAGCCAGCAGCTTAAGGAGTTAATTGTTTATTTGTTTGAAAGTAATTAGCAACTAATGGCTACACCAGGGGGGCCACCTACAGGGACAAAAAGTGTTATCTCTCCTAAACAGAACACAGACTTAACTTTCTCGAAAGAAGTGATGCACGAACATAGCACTCCTCTTTTATTTGAAATCATTAATGTATAAAATCATGCTTTTTATTCTGAAGTTTATACTTTCACGGACTCCAGTTACCTAAACATACAGGCAAGACAGGAGAGCAAAAAAGTAATAAATAATTTAATTTAAGTGAATTTTTGTCCAAGGAAATTGGAAAAAATAATAATCTCTTAATGCTATTACTGTAATTCTGATGAAAATGCCTGTTTTTCACATGCATATGTAACGGTGAATGTTGTCAATGAAAACACAATGGTATTTGGAGTGCAGCATACTGGAAAAGGTTGGCAACGTTATTAACACTGAGTGTCATTGTCTTCCAAGTGCCCGGATTAATACATAGGAACAGTTGCACCAAGAATTTTAAATAATTAATGGGCTAATTCCTCCTTCATCTTTGCTTTTAAATGAGAGAGACGCAAGTTTAGGTGAAGATTCATAGGTAAGCACCTCCAAGCAAATTAAAAGCAGGGCTATTTAAAGAGAGTAATTTCTCTCCCTACCACAGTCGTTTCAAAAAGAACATAGCTTATTTTGCAAAGAAAAATTTCCCCCTGTTGATCTTTTGAGGGATGGGGCAGGGAAGAGGGGGTTTAAGAAGATGATAAAGCTTGTGAAAAATAACCAAGAACAAAATATTTTAATTTCGTAATCCTTAAAAAAACTTGAAATTAAAAATAAAGTAGAACTGCTAATTGGGAGGATTTTGAAGTGGCTACCCCACCTCCACTGCCACAAAAGGTATAATACTTGTAGTTCTTGTACTCTGCTCCTCCTCTTCTACTAGTACCGTTTTGAAGATAAATTTAAGGGCTCAGCTTTAAACAACTGCCAGACTTTTCTTCAGGGAAGAGGAAAAGTAGTCGCCACTCACAGAGGAAATAGCTTCTACAGGATGGAGCTCAACTTCATCAGATTTTATCCTATCATGATCTCACAAATGTTAAGCTAAATCCCTCCTTATGTGAGCTCTCAGCTGAACAAAGGATCTCACACACAAAACACCAACAGGCACACAGAAGAATAGGTTTATAAATATACATGCAAAACCATTTTGAGGATGAATAAACCTGTGAGCATTTATCCTTCATGGAGATTTTGTATACAGTGTTGAGAGGTGACCTTAATCTGGTAAGACTAGGAGGCAGAGCAAGAACTCAGGACCTTCCCAGATTTCTTTCCCTCCTTCAGACATTCCTTCCTTCCTTCCACAATTGGTTGAGCACCGACCCAGGACCAGAAAAAACAGAATAGAATCTTTGCCTTCACGAAGTTCACAGTGGTGCGGGGTCGGGGGTGGGGGGTGACGGTGGGTGGGTCAGGGGAGGAAGGCAGGGAACAAACAGTAATTATAAGTAAATTATCTAGTCTGTCAGGGAAAAGAATGGGAAAAGGAACGAGATGAGCCAGGTAAGATAGATCATCAGTGCAGCAGCTGGCGGGCGGGAGATGTCAGGGCAGGCCTCACTGAGACCCTCACTGCCAGATCGGTGCCTCAAAGGCTCGTGGCGCAAGGATGCCACAGCACATGCTGAAGCAACTCCAGTTCCCAATTTCTTCTATATTAACAAGTACATTCCAATATTTTTATTCAGCTTGATTTGATTTTATTTGGATTTACAGAACCCTATTTAAATACGGATGAGTAGATGAAAATAAAAGGCAGGAAAAAAATTTTCTAAAAATGTGTGCAAAACATTTTCTCATATTCATTCAACAGATATTTTTAGGGCACTTAATATGTGCCAGACACTATCTAGAGGTGCTAGAGATCAGTGATGAACAAAACATGGTAATTTCAGAGAGTGATAAATACATTGGAAGGAGTAAACAAGGTGCCAGGGATGCGGAAGGGTGACTGAGTACAGTGGTTGATGGCGGAGGAAGGCCTGCCTAAGGAGGTGACACTTTAGCTGAAGCTGAGAACGAGCGAGCCAGCCTGCCAAGAGCCTGAGGAAAAAGCACTGCAGTCAGAGGGAAGAGCAAATACAAAGTTCTTGCAGCTGAAAAGCACATGCAATATCTGAGTTGAAGAAGGAAGTTGCTGGAGTGGAGTCAGCCTGGATCCCAGATGCACTTGGGGAGCCAGGCCAGGCTGGACACTGGATGGACTGCGTAAAGGCCACCAGAAGGAGTTCCACTGCAAAGAGAAGCCAGGGTAGGGTTTTAAGCTGGGACTGACATGACAGCATTCATGTTTTTAAAACCTTACTCGGGCTGCTCTGTGGAAAGGATTAGAGGGGAACGAGGGTAACCAGGGAGATAAGTTGGGAGTTATTTATTGAACACATGTTTACTGAGCATACACTATGTGCTAGGCATTGTTCTAGGTGTGAGGGATATGGTAGTGACGGCACAGACAATCCTTCAGGGGCAAGAGATGATGGTCCTTGCACAAAAGGGTAACAGTGAGTTTGGAGAGAGGTGCAATTCATCAAGAGTTTGTGGGAGATTGAATAATTGAACACTTGGTCCCAATTCTTCAATCCCTATCCCTTTGCTGTGTCTTCATGGCAGACATAGTGTACTTCCTACCTCTTGACTTTGGGCTTGTCGGTGTGACTGGCTTTAGCCAATGGAAAGTTATGTGAGCAGAACATGCCGGCATGATTGGTCTGCCTTATTGGGCTTCTACCATCACCATGAGATCATCCCTGGGATAGCTGCTGTCCTTCAGACTGAGCCCCAGATGGACACACATGGATTGCATCAGACCCCACTCCACCCTGCAGCCTGTAGCCAACCAAGTCAGCTGAGCCCAGCTAAACTCAGCCAAATACCCACTGACCTACAGTTTTGTGAGTGAGAAAAACATGCACTGTTTAAGCCACTGACGGTTTTGAGGTTAATTCACAGCATTCTGGAAGAAACTGCTCTTTGATTCAGGGGTAGAAGAACATGTCTTGCTGATGGATTAGATATGGAGGTGAGGGAAAAGGAGGCATTAACAATGACTGTTTTTTGGCTTGAACAAATGTGCCATTTAGTGGGGTGTGGAAGCCTGGGCCAGGGGAGGAAAGGTTTGGGGAAAAATGAAGAGCTCTAGCGTGGATAGCAACGCGCTATTGGATATATGAGTATGAGCTCAGTGATGAAGCTCTACGCTTGTGCACAACCAGCAAAGAGATGGTCTTAAAAGCCATAGGTTTGTACAAGATCACTCAATGAATGGTGGTAGGTACAAGAAAGATCTCAGGACCACGTCTAGGGTGCTCCAACGTTCGGAGGTTGGGGCAGAAGTGGTGCTGGGAAAGGAGCACCTGGTAAGGCAGGAGAAAAATCTAGAGACGCAGTAGCAGAGCCAAGAGAGGGAAAAGGGTCAAGGAGAAGGATGGCTGCAGCAGCATCTCTAGTGGTCTCTGCTTCCAACCATGAGCCCCTGTGGTTTTCTATCAACACAGCAGCCAGAGGATCATTTAAAACCATAAGTCTGTTATGTCACGATTCTGCTCAAAAAATGCTTCCTGATTACGGCCGGGCGTGGTGGCTCACGCCTATAATCCTAGCACTCTGGGAGGCTGAGGCGGGAGGATTGTTTGAGGTCAGGAGTTCGAAACCAGCCTGAGCAAGAGCCAGACCCCGTCTCTACTAAAAATAGAAAGAAGTTAATTGGACAACTAAAAATATATAGAAAAAATTAGCCGGGCATGGTGGCGCATGCCTGTAGTCCCAGCTACTCGGGAGGCTGAGGCAGAAGGATCGCTTGAGCCCAGGAGTTTGAGGTTGCTGTGAGCTAGGATGATGCCACGGCACTCTAGCCTGGGCAACACAAGTGAGACTCTGTCTCAAAAAAAAAAAAAAAAAAAAAAAAAAAGCTTCCTGATTTCAGTAAAAGTCAATACATCCTTGTTTTGTTTCTGACATGAGAATAGTGTTTCACTGTTAATAAAATGTCTACTGTTGGTTTCTAATATTAAATAAATGCTACCTATCTGCCACAATGTTATAATAACACAAACATAAAATATCCATAGCGCTTTATAGCTTCTAGAGCATTTTGGCATATTTAATCTTCTCACAAATCTTCCATTATTTTGTAGCTGAGAAAACAGAAACTGAGTACAGTTGTAATATGCAGAAGTCACTAACTAGCAAGCAGCTGAGCCTTGACTTACATTTTGTCTCCAAATCCCCCGTTCTATTGACTTTACCAATTAATGGTCACTGGGGCATCTTCACTAAAGATCTCACAGTATAAATATCAAAGTGTACTGATCAGTTAAGAAAAATAAGTGAAAACCTTGCATATGATATAAGGTCAGTATCTTTCAACACTTATTTTGAAATGAGAAATAAAAGACTGATATATGGACATTGAAGAGATTTTAGTAATGATAAAGTTGAAAGTCCGTATTTTAAACATCTATAGGTACAACATAAAGTAAAAACTGTGAGGTTTACGTTTTGTTTCATTAACTTGGAAATCCACCCAGGTTTTGGTAACAATTTATTTTTAAATTGTATATTGGGATTAAGACTCAAATAATTAACATCGGGAAAAATGTCCAAAGTCTTAGGTGTTTTGGTGGAGATTTCTGTAAACCAGTTATACAATTATTATGCTGTGAGCATACTAAGAAAGAAATGCAATAAGCAAAGCTTTACTGACACATGCCTCTTAAACTCTGCAGAGGAATCACACCAATTTGAGACTTTCCGTATTTTGCAGTGTCATCACAGCTCACTGCAACCTCAAACTCCTGGGCTTGAGGGATCCTCCTGCCTCAGCCTCCTGAGTAGCTGCGACTACAGGAGTGCACCACCGCACC